CGTGGAACCCAGTTGGGTTCCTCGTGCAACCCAGTTTCTGGGTTCCACGGGGAATCCAGTTTCTGGGCTCCCTGAGGAACCCAGATCTGGGTTTCCCGTGGAACCCAGTTTTCTGGGTTCCCGAAGAACCCATGGAACCCAGATATTTGAAGAGGGATGATGAAGATGATGGTGAGTAGGATGCCAAGGATGAGGAGGAGGAGGCGGATCAAAATGAGAAGAAGGAATGAATAAGATGAAGTGATTAAAATTAATTTCATTTAAATTCATTTAATTTATTAATTAAAAAATAAAATTTTTAATTTATCATACGTCACCATTAATATTTCACTATTTTTTTATAGCAATTATTTATCAGCAAGGTGAGCCTTGTCGGTGAAAAAGATTTTCACTGAGCAAGATGTTCAATTCCCTCAAAAAAAAAAAAATAATTTTTAGTTAGGTTAAATATTTAATTTGGTCCCTAAATTTTCAGTTTTAGACTAAGTTTATTCTTAAACTTATTAAATTATCAAATTTGTCCTTAAACTTTGTTTTTTCATTACCAACTTGTTAATTTTTCTTAAAATTTAAATTTAATTAACATTGTAAAATGATAATTATTTAATTATATATGTTATAACTAATTGTTATTATTTAATTATTTAATTATTTACCTAGATGACCAAGTTTGAAATTAACTTCTTCAATTTTTCAATTTTTCAATTTTACATGTGAAAATGTAGTTATACGTAGAGGTTCCCAAATCATCCATATAGCACTGGTTTTTTTACATGTAATTCTTTGAATTTCAAAAAAATAAATTCATGGCATGTTAACATGCTAGTTGGGTACTTCTGTTGATGAAAGGACCAAGTTAGCAATGAAAAAATAAAGTTTAAGGATAAATTTGATAATTTTATAGTTAGAATTATCACCGACATGAATTATGTTGGTAAATCTCACTCTAATTACCATATTACCCATATTGCTAATTATTAGTTAGGAATAGGGTGGATGTCAGTCTATCTGAAAATTTTAACAACATGGTTTTTGTTACTAAAATTCACTTTCAGCAACAAGAACCATGTTGCTGAAAAATGAAGATCATTGTTAAGTATTAGCAACATAGGTGTTGTCGGTGAAAATCTACACCATAAATTGCCGGTCAATCAGTAGGGGCATGGGCAATCGGAAAATTTTAGCAACATGGTGCTTGTTGCTGAAATACACTTTCAGCAACAAGAACCATGTTGTTGAAAGTGAAGAACACTTTTTGGGGGAGTGAGTACTATTTAAGTATCAGCAACATGAGTTTCGTCGGTGAAAATTTGTATTACCGACGTGCAATTCTATGTTGCTAATACTTAGTTGCTGAAAAAGAAGATTTTAGTAGTGTTTATACAATTTTTATATATCATTAAATGAATGGATATATAATTTTTTTATATCATTGTTTATATACATTTTTTATATCATTAAATAAGTAGATATACTCAATATTACGAGTTTAAAATGAATCAATTATTTAAATAATATGTAAGATTATACAAAAAAACTATACAAAAAGGTTATCCCTAAATAATTTTTCAAAAATTATTTATTTTGAAACAAAAAAGTA